CTGAGGAGCCCCAACTGGCCCGCCCTACGGGCTTGGGGACACGAGGGACCCTGATGGCGGGAAGCTCGACACCTACGGCTCCACCGACTGGGGGTACATCGTCCCAACTGGCCCGCTCTACGGGGTTGGGACCACGAGCGACGAGGGCAGCAAGCACTATGACACCCTCGACGCCATCTACTGGGAGTACGCCGCCCCAACTGGCCCGCTCTACGGGGTTGGGGCCAAGAGCGTCGGGGAGTGCGAGCAATTCTACTTCGATGTCGCCGTCTACTGAGCAGCCCCAACTGGCCCGCTCTACGGGGTTGGGGACACGAGGGACCCTGATGGCGGGAAGCTCAACACCGATGGCTCCACCGACTGGGGGTTCATTGTCCCAACTGGCCCGCTCTACGGGGTTGGGACCACGAGCGACGAGGGAAGCAAGCATAACGACACCTCCGACGCCGTCTACTGGGAGTACGCTGCCCCGACTGGCCCGCTCTACGGGGTTGGGGCCAAGAGCGACGGGAAGTGCTAGCAGTTCTACTTCGATGACACTGTCTACTGGTTGTACGTGGATGTCAGAACGCTCCAGGGCCCCGCAAGGGAGCCCTGGATCGCCGTCGCCACCTGGACGACCCGCGCCCTGGGCACTCCAGCCACAGGAGGAGGGAGCTCCAGCGAGCGGCGCGGGCGGACAGGAAGCTTGCTGGATTCGTGATAGCAATGGCAGCACAGACAGCGGAAATTTCCCCCTGCGTGGCGAGGGGTTAGGCCACAGTGGGCAGGAGCAGGTGAGGATTGAGCTAGGTGAGCCCCTCGACTCCCCCACCACCCTGATCGAGCCAGGTGGGCCCTCCGTGACGTTGAGGTCTGAGCTAGGTGAGCCCCTTGACCGAACAGGAGCAGATCAGAACGGAGCATCGGAAGAAGCAGAACTGATAGCTGAAGTTTTCCGACGCGCAGCCCGTCATGCTGCCCTGGCCTGGCGTGACACTCGAGCACAAGTACGATCATGGGCCAAGAAGGCAACAGACAATGCGATGAAAGGAGCACATCGGTATTTGAGTTCAGAGGAGCGAATCGACACGAGTGATGGATGCTTGGACCCAGACACCAGGAAGTGGGAGATGGACCCGCAGAAAGGAATTCAACTTCGACGACGGCAGTGGGAAAGGCGATGGACGGCTCACAAGGACTTCGCCACAAAGGAGCTCCCGCAAGCCATGCACGACCTGAGGAGCAAGGCACAGGAGGCGCTCGCTGAAAGGCCCTTCCTCACGCGTGAGTGCCTTGACATGGCGCTGAGCAGCTTCCACGCGGGGACAGGGCTTGGTGCTGATCAATGGGCGCCAGACCAGTTGCGAGCGCTCAGCCCGTCGTGCAAGGAATCCTTCCTCATCATCTTGAATATGTGTGAGAGGCAGTTGACTTGGCCACATCAGATAATGCAGATATGGTATGCCCTACCACCAAAGGGGGACAAACAAATAGCGGGGGAAGAGCGGCCTATAGGGCTGATGCCGATGACGATGAGAGTCTGGGGTAAGATGACCAAACAACGATTCACCGAGTGGTGTGATCGAAAAGCGGGGTTCTGGGATGCGGCCGTCAGGAAGAGTTCGGCGTTGCAGTCGGCACTGCTAACACTTGTTCTGGACGAAACACGGGCCAATCTAGACGAAGCCAGCCAAGCTACTTTCTTCCAGGACTTAGAGAAGTTCTACGATTTGGTAGACTTAGGTATATTAGCTGTACGTGCTGCGCAAGTCGAGTATCCCCCAGTAGAGCTGTACATGTGCATCATGTCGTACCTCTGCCCTAGGCTAGTCAAGGCTAATAAGATCTACAGTGACCTGATCGTTCCTGACAATGGGATGGTACCAGGATGCGGGAAAGCTAACCACGGAGCCCGAGCACTACTCTATCATGTGCTAGAAGAAGTACACCTAGCCGTCCCGATAGCGAGGTTGAGACAGTTCGTGGACGACATCACCGTGAGGGTCGAGGGCCCTGACGAAGTGGTAGGTGCAGCGGTGTCGAAAGCAGCGAGTGTCCTGGTTGGAGGCTGCCTCAAGGCGAGGCTCAGGATCTCCGACAAGTCTACCATCCTTGCCCAGAACCCCCAGGACGCCCTGGAGGTGGAGAGGTCCCTGGCCGAGTTTAACATTTCCATCAAGAAAGGCAAGGAGATGAAGGACCTGGGGACCGACAACACCATGGGGATACGCAGATCCAGGAAAACGGCGACAAGAAGGAGTAGACTCGGCAAAATTCGGGCCACCAGGGCCGGTTTATTCGCTAGTTTGGGACGGGCCCGACGTAAGAAGAGCAAGCTCCTATTTAATGCTAACGTGCGGGCTAAGATGTCCTACGATAGCCCTCTCTTTGGCCTCCCCCCGTCCGAAATCCGAAAGCGGAGAGCCCTGGCCGCGGATTTAGCTGGTTTTGGAAAGAAGGGCCGCTGCACCGCGATGGTCATGCTGCTGATGTATGGGGAGGGGGACCCTTGGGCTGCGTGCGTGAAGCGCCAGGCCAAAGAGTGGCTCATTTTCTGGGCCAACAACCCCACCCTCAGGCAGCAGGTTCGGAGGGGGTGGACGGCCACTAAGTTTAAGCTTGCTAGGTTGAAGCCCCGATCCCGATGGCGAGCTGTAACGGGGCCTATGGGGGCCTTGTTGCTCACCCTTCGGTCCCTGGGATGGGTCGGGGTTGAGCCTGACGTTTGGGAGGACCCCGACGGTTCGCAGTGGCGCTTCAACCCCGACCTGTCCGATGATGTGACCGAAATTAGTGATGCTTTGGCCCAGTCAGTTCAGATGCAGTTGTGGAAGCAAGCCTCCTTGCACAGTGAAGGAGCCTGCCTCAAGGACGGGGGGGACCTCACCATGTTGCAAACTAATGTCAAGCGCATGCATAAGAAAGATATGTATCAGGAAGCTGGCGCCCTGGAGGGGATAGCGTGTGCCACAATTTGGAATGGAGATCGTCAGAAGCGAGCTGGCTATCAGACAGACGGCATGTGCACTAGGTGTGATCTAGGGGCCCCAGATTCCACGCGTCATAGGACCTACGAGTGCCCCAGTCTGGCCCAGTTGGATCATCCTTGGATTGCCAGAACGGGACACTTGTGCGAGCGAGCGATCCGCGACCTCGACCGAGGGGTTAACGAATCGCTCTGGCTCCGAGGGATCGTTCCCCTTTCATGGAATCCTGTACCACCCCCACCAGAGTGGGGGGATGTGAGTGCCTGGCGTGTTAGAGCCGTTGACACCCCTCCACCCGCCATCGGTCCCAATGGAGAAGTGACGCCAGCCCGAAGGCTGGAGGCGAGGTTTGGTTTTTTGGATGGTTCTGGCACGTCGTCGGACCCGCGTGTGGCGCGAGTCGGGTGGGGCGTCTATCTCCAGTTGGGACTGCATGGCCCTCCCGCCCCTGGAGCTTCGGACCCTTCCCCTCCCCTCCCTGGGTGGTACGGGGGAGTCGACGGCCGCCGGACCGTCCCAGCAGCAGAGCTCGCCGCCTTGTGGTGGTGTTTGGAGCTCACAACTGGGGATATAGTTATATATACTGATAACCAGGCTGTCTTTGATGGGTGGCACGGGGGTAAGCTTGACAACCCCAGTGGGGTGCTCAGGGGGTGGTGGCAGAGGATCAGAGCTGCTACCCTTTCTCGCCCTGGGGTTGTCATCCTCCGAAAGTGTTCTTCCCACCTTGATTCCCATTCCCACCTCCTGTCCTCCCAGCCTCCCTCTGTCTCCCGTGGGAATGAGTTGGCCGACGCCTACGCCCAGAGAGGGGCTGAGGAGGCGAGCGCTCCCATCAGGGGAGAAATCAAGGCCTTAGGCGTCGCGGACGCCTGCGCCACCCTCGCCCAGCAGCGCTTGGCGGCGGTGACCAGGGAGCTCGCGTCGCAGGACCGCGAGCATTGTGCACGGACTCCCGAGGGGGGAGGGGGGGCTGCTTCCAGGCGGGTTGTCGAGCTCGAGCGAGTGTCGGGCCACCACTTGGGGCGGTTGCCCAATGGGGCGTGGCTGTGTCGTCGGTGCCGTCAGGGTCCGCCCCCAGGGTCGTCGCTTGTGGACTGGCTCGGGCTCGAAGATAACCGCTGTAAGGGGGACCCCACCCAGCGGCACTTGAGCGAGAATGATAATGTTGTGCTCGTGCCCCGCCCTGTGACCACGGAGTTGAGGACGGCCAATGAGCATGTCCACCCCTCCCATTGCGTGGCCATGCGTAACGGGCAAGTGTGGTGTTGGAAATGCGCCAGTCTGGGCACCGTGGTGAATGGGGGGGGCCGTCTCTTGCTCCTAGCGGAGCCGTGCCGAGAATGGACCACCCCCTCGGGAGATAATTATCTTAGTAGATTGCGCAAGGGGCTCCCACCCAAGGGCAACAAGTGGCCCAATGACAAGGGAGCTGGGCGCCTCCGAGTGGAGGCCGGTTCGAGTGTAATCCAGTCATTTTTGAAACCCAAGTCTCGGAGATAGTGTGCTATCGAGAGCCGCCCCCCGAGGGGGGGGTGTAATTGTCCAGCTGTGGCCTCGCTGCTGACTGGCACCCTTCAGCATTCTCAGCATTCTCAGCATTCTCCTCCCCCCCTCCTCCTCCTCCTCCTCCTCCTCCTCCTCCTCCTCCTCCTCCTCCTCCTCCTCCTCCTCCTCCTCCTCCTCCTCCTCCTCCTCCCCCTCCTCCCCCTCCTCCCCTCCTCCTCCTCCTCCTCCTCCTCCTCCTCCTCCTCCTCCTCCTCCTCCTCCTCCTCCCTCCTCCTCCTTCTCCTCCTCCTCCTCCTCCTCCTCCTCCTCCTCCTCCTCCTCCTCCCCTCCTCCTCCTCCTCCTCCTCCTCCTCCTCCTCCTCCTCCTCTCCTCCTCCTCCTCCTCCTCCTCCTCCTCCTCCTCCTCCTCCTCCCCCCCCTCCTCCCCCTCCTCTTCCTCCCCCCCCTCCCCTCCACCTCCTCCTCCTCCTCCTCCTCCTCCTCCTCCTCCGCGCGCCGGTGGGAGCGGGCTCCGCGGGGCAGGCCGGCGCGCCCAAGCGCGCCGAGCAGAAGGAGCCAGAGTTCATCCGCTACACGCCGAACCCGAACGCTCCTGGCGCCCGCGCCCTCGCCTGCGCCCTCGCCTCGCCTCGCCCTCGCCCTCGTCGGAGAGCAGGCAAAGGGCAGAGTTCTCTCCGAAGTCGCAAGAAACCTAAAGTCGGGCGTGTCCCTCTACAGGAGGGATAGTAAAAAATAGTCCAAACATAGTCTGGGAACGTTTTTTGGGTAGTTCCCAACCATCCTGTGGTGTTGGGTCTTCGTTTTGAAGAGACGGTCCCCGCGTTCCTCTTCTCCTCCTCCTCCTCCTCCTCCTCCTCCTCCTCCTCCTCCTCCTCCCTCCTCCTCCTCCTCCTCCTCCTCCTCCTCCCCCTCCTCCTCCACCTTCTGCCTTCCTTCCTCCTTCTTCCATCACCCACCCAGCACAGCGTTTCGTGGCCCCATAGGGAGCTCCACCGAAGCCCCCAGTGGCACCGCCCGCATGCGTCCGCCACCACCCAGCACAGCCCTTGCTCCCTGCGTTTCACCCACCCAGTACAGCGTTTCGTGACCCCATAGGAAGCTCCACGGAAGGTCCCAGTGGCACCGCCCACATGCGTCCGCCACCACGCAACACGGCCATTGTTCCGTGCGTTTCGCCCACCCAGAACAGGGTTTCGTGGCCCCATAAAGGGGGCGCCACCGAAGGTCCCAGTGGCACCGCCCGCATGCGTCCGCCACCACCCAACACAGCCTTTGCTCCTTGCGCTTCGCACACCCAGTACAGCGTTTCGTGGCCCCATAGGGTCGTGGCCCCATAGGGAGCTTCACCGAAGGTCCCTGTGGCACCGCCCGCATGCGTCCGCCACCACCCAGCACAGCCCTTGCTCCCTGCGTTTCACCCACCCAGTACAGCGTTGCGTGGCCCCAAAAGGAGTTCCACCGTCGGCCCCAGTCCTACCGCCCGCATGCGTTCCCCCCCACGCAGTGCAACGCGTGCGGTACCCACAGCTGCGGTACCCACAACTGCATTTGGTTGGGTCTTTCGCCGGGATAATTGGGTTTTGATTTTTTCCCAACCATGCTGTGGTGTTGGGTCCTCGTTTTGAAGAGACGGTCCCCGCGTTCCTCTTCTCCTCCTGTTCCCCCTCCTCCCCTCCCTCCCCTTCTTCCATGCGTTTCACCCACCCAGCACAGCGTTTCGTGGCCCCATAGGGAGCTCCACCGAAGCCCCCACTGGAACCGCCCGCGTGCGTCCGCCACCACCCAGTACAGCCATTGCTCCCTTCGTTTCGCCCACCCAGTACAGCGCTTCGTGGCCCCCTAAGGGGGCTCCACCGAAGGTCCTAGTGGCACCGCCCGCATGCGTCCGCCACCACCCAACACGGCCCTTGTTTTTTTCGTTTCAGCTCTCCAGTAGAGGGTTTTGGCCCCATACAAGGGGGCTCCACCGAAGGTCCCAGTGGCACCGCCCGCATGCGTCCGCCACCACCCAGCACAGCCATTGCTCCCTGCGCTTCACCCACCCAGTACAGCGTTTCGTGGCCCCATAAAAGGTGCTCCACCGAAGGTGCCAGTGGCACCGCCCGCATGCGTCCGCCACCACCCAGCACAGCCATTGCTGCCTGCGTTTCGCCCACCTAGTACAGCGTTTCGTGGCCCCATAAAAGGTGCTCCACCGAAGGTGCCAGTGGCACCGCCCGCATGCGTCCGCCACCACCCAGCACAGCCATTGCTGCCTGAGTTTCGCCCACCCAGTACAGCGTTTCGTGGCCCCATAAAAGGTGCTCCACAGAAGGTGCCAGTGGCACCGCCCGCATGCGTCCGCCACCACCCAGCACAGCCCTTGCTCCCTGCGTTTCGCCCACCTAGTACAGCGTTTCGTGGCCCCATAAGGGGGCTCCACAAAAGGTCCCAGTGGCACCGCCCGCATGCGTCCGCCACCACCCAGCACAGCCCTTGGTCCCTGCGTTTCACCCACCTAGTACAGCGTTTCGTGGCCCCCTAGGTTGTCACCGAAGGTCCCAGTGGCACCGCCCGCATGCGTCCGCCACCACCCAGCACAGCCCTTGCTCCCTGCGTTTCGCCCACCCAGTGCAGCGTTTCGTGCCCCATAAAAGGTGCTCCACCGAAGGTGCCAGTGGCACCGCCCGCATGCGTCCGCCACCACCCAGCACAGCCATTGCTGCCTGCGTTTCGCCCACCTAGTACAGCGTTTCGTGGCCCCATAAAAAGGTGCTCCACCGAAGGTCCCAGTGGCACCGCCCGCATGCGTCCGCCACCGCCCAGCGCAGCCCTTGCTCCCTACGTTTCGCCCACCTAGTACAGCGTTTCGTGGCCCCATAAGGGGGCTCCACCGAAGGTCCCAGTGGCACCGCCCGCATGCGTCCGCCACCACCCAGCACAGCCCTTGGTCCCTGCGTTTCACCCACCTAGTACAGCGTTTCGTGGCCCCCTAGGTTGTTCCACCGAAGGTCCCAGTGGCACCGCCCGCATGCGTCCGCCACCACCCAGCACAGCCCTTGCTCCCTGCGTTTCGCCCACCCAGTACAGCGTTTCGTGGCCCCATAAAAGGTGCTCCACCGAAGGTGCCAGTGGCACCGCCCGCATGCGTCCGCCACCACCCAGCACAGCCATTGCTGCCTGCGTTTCGCCCCCTAGTACAGCGTTTCGTGGCCCCATAAAAGGTGCTCCACCGAAGGTCCCAGTGGCACCGCCCGCATGCGTCCGCCACCACCCAGCGCAGCCCTTGCTCCCTACGTTTCGCCCACCTAGTACCGCGCTTTCGTGGCCCCATAGGGGGCTCCACCGAAGTCCCAGTGGCAGCGTCGCCTCATGCGTCCCCACCACCCAGCACAGCCCTTGTCCCTGCGTCACCCACCTAGTACAGCGTTTCGTGCCCCTAGTTGTTCCACCGAAGGCCCCAGTGCACCGCCGCAGCGTCCGCCACCACCCAGCACAGCCCTTGCTGCCTGCTTTTCGCCCACCCAGTACAGCGTTTCGCACCGAAGGTGCCCAGCCCATGGCACCGCAGGCACCGAAGGTGCCAGTGGCCCAGCCCGCATGCGTCCGCCACCACCCAGCCAGCCCTTGCTCCCTACGTTTCGCCCACTTAGTACAGCGTTTCGTGGCCCCATAAGGGGGCTCCACAGAAGGTCCCAGTGGCACCGCCCGCATGCGTCCGCCACCACCCAGCACAGCCCTTGGTCCCTGAGTTTCACCCACACACACTATAAAGCTTTCGTGGCCCCCTAGTTTGGTTCCAACCGAAGGGTCCCAGTGGCACCAGCCCGCATGCGGTCCGCCACCACCCAGCACAGCCCTGCTCCCTGCGTTTTCGCATACACCAGTGCAGCGTTTATTCCGTGGCCCCATAAAAAGGTGCCCCACCGAAGGTGCCGTGGCACCGCCCGCATGCGTCGCCACCACCAGCACAGCCATTGCTGCCTGCGTTTCGCCACCTAGTACAGCTTTTCGTGGCCCCATAAAAGGTGCTCCACGAAGGTCCCAGTGGCACCGCCCGCATGCGTCCGCCACACCCACGCAGCCCTACGCCCACCTAGTACCGCGTTCGTGGCCCCACTCCACCGAAGGTCCCAGTGGCACCGCCCGCATGCGTCCGCCACCACCCAGCACAGCCCTGGTCCCTGCGTTTCACCCACCTAGTACAGCGTTTCGTGGCCCCCTAGGTTGTTCCACCGAAGGTCCCAGTGGCACCGCCCGCATGCGTCCGCCACCACCCAGCACAGCCCTTGCTCCCTGCGTTTCGCCCACCCAGTGCAGCGTTTCGTGGCCCCATAAAAGGTGCTCCACCGAAGGTGCCAGTGGCACCGCCCGCATGCGTCCGCCACCACCCAGCACAGCCATTGCTGCCTGCGTTTCGCCCACCTAGTACAGCGTTTCGTGGCCCCATAAAAAGGTGCTCCACCGAAGGTCCCAGTGGCACCGCCCGCATGCGTCCGCCACCACCCAGCGCAGCCCTTGCTCCCTACGTTTCGCCCACCTAGTACAGCGTTTCGTGGCCCCATAAGGGGGCTCCACCGAAGGTCCCAGTGGCACCGCCCGCATGCGTCCGCCACCACCCAGCACAGCCCTTGGTCCCTGCGTTTCACCCACCTAGTACAGCGTTTCGTGGCCCCCTAGGTTGTTCCACCGAAGGTCCCAGTGGCACCGCCCGCATGCGTCCGCCACCACCCAGCACAGCCATTGCTCCCTGCGTTTCGCCCACCCAGTACAGCGTGTCGTGGCCACATAAAAAGGTGTTCCACCGAAGGTGCCAGTGGCACCGCCCGCATGCGTCCGCCACCACCCAGCACAGCCCTTGCTGCCTGCGTTTCGCCCACCCAGTACAGCGTTTCGTGGCCCCATAAAAGGTGCTCCACCGAAGGTGCCAGTGGCACCGCCCGCATGCGTCCGCCACCACCCAGCACAGCCATTGCTGCCCTGCGTTTCTGCGCCACCCAGTACAGCGTTTCGTTGGCCCCATAAAGGGGCTCCACCGAAGGTCCAGTGGCACCGCCCGCGTCGCCATGCGTCCGCCCACCCCTAGTACAGCGTTTCGTGGCCCCATAAAAGGTGCCCCACCGAAGGTCCCAGTGGCACCGCCGCATGCGTCCGCCACCACCCAGCACAGCCCTTGGTCCCTGCGTTTCACCCACCTAGTACAGCGTTTCGTGGCCCCCTAGGTTGTTCCACCGAAGGTCCCAGTGGCACCGCCCGCATGCGTCCGCCACCACCCAGCACAGCCCTTGCTCCCTGCGTTTCGCCCACCCAGTGCAGCGTTTCGTGGCCCCATAAGAGGTGCTCCACCGAAGGTGCCAGTGGCACCGCCCGCATGCGTCCGCCACCACCCAGCACAGCCATTGCTGCCTGCGTTTCGCCCACCTAGTACAGCGTTTCGTGGCCCCATAAAAGGTGCTCCACCTAATGTCCCAGTGGCACCGCCCGCATGCGTCCGCCACCACCCAGCGCAGCCCTTGCTCCCTACGTTTCGCCCACCTAGTACCGCGCTTCGTGGCCCCATAAAAGGTGCTCCACCGAAGGTGCCAGTGGCACCGCCCGCATGCGTCCGCCACCACC